GTAAACAAAGGAGGAGGCTGCAATGCTTGGTAAGAAATGTATGCATTATTCTGCCCATGTAATTGTAACCCCTCTGTACAGTATGTTCACAAATAAAATAAAATAAAAAATAAATTAAAAAAAAAGATCCTTGGAAGATGGTTTCTTTTATCTGGGAGAGATCTGGAATGTCTCCATCAAAAATGTTCTGAAACCTTTCTACATTCTTCTGCCTCCATCTTACCAGCATAAACACTCAACTTAGGGAAATGATGCTAAGTATGGACACCTTCAGCATTTGTACTTGCCATCTGAAGCCAGGTCATCTCTTTTATTCCACGGCAATTCAGAAATCCCACCATCCACAATGCAGCCAGGGCCAGACATTGCTTTGGTAGACTTGGGGTAACACAGCCGGGATAAAAAGGTTGGATACCATACTCAGCTAGCATCAAGGCATGACCAGCAGTCATTGTTGGTCCCAGAAAAATGGATGTCCAAACTCTCAGCAAAGAAGATATGGGGCCAAAGCATCTCTTCCGAAAAAAGTAGTGAGCTGCACTGCATGGGAAAGTGACACTTATCTCTACAAAGCAAAGGGATTATGTCAGGGACAGTATAGCACAGACAATCCAAACACACAGAGAGATCCTTATATTCATGCAAGAATATTCCAGAACTCCTTTGTGGGACACAAAAATTTCTGCCCCAATTATGTTAATAATTAAAAAAGCAGTGGCCCAGAAATATCCAAGTTCTCTTTTGAGCTGTATTTTCTCCTCTTCACCCATTGTAACTGAGAAATCTTAAAATTTTTCAATATAAATTACAATTTCTAATTTTTTCCTCTCTATTTTGCTGGAATTCTGGATTCTGCTATCATTTTTGCCACCTTCATTAAATATAGTCTGTTTTCAATTGTTAACAAAGCGTATGTGACAAAATCAGAAAAAATAAGATGGATTACTTGCAAGAGTTTAGTTTGACTTGTCATTTAATTATTATCAAATTAATACATTCAGAGGAAAAAGAGATAAGTTGAAACAGGGATTACAGTTCAAAGCTTCTCAAAAGAAAAACTGTTCCCAAACCATTGTTCTTAGCTCTGAGACATGTTCTAACACACACCTCTTAACTGTTTAAGAAAGTTCCACTTGCACTACCTAAACTGTTATTTGAAAATGACTCAGATTGCTCTGTGGGAAAATCCCTGTTTGTGGGTCATTTGCCTAAAACAATCAACTGCAATTATTCAATACAGCAATTTCCTAAGGCAAGAATAAAAGCATAGATAAACAGAATCCTAGCCTGAACTATATGGTGGCACTAATCCCAGGGGGCCTTCAAAAAGCTCTGGCATTTTCCTGAAGCTCTCCAAAGCTATGTATGAGGTCAGGGCTGTAAGTGTCCAGGAAATACCTGACAGGATTCAAGCTCTAGCAAGACAAGACTGAGAGAGAAAGAAAGATGTTCCCAAATAAACGAAAGCTGAAAGATCCCAATCAGTGGGTCATTCCTAAAGGGGCTGTATCAGCCTAACATACAAAGATACTAGATGAAATGAATTTTACAACGTGTGGATGGAACAGGAGGAAAAGATTGGGAGAGAGCAAGGGAGTGACATTGTCCAAAAACTATGTACTTTTTACCTGACTTATGTTACTGTAACCCTTCTATACCTTATCTTTAAAACAATAAAAAAGTTTAAATCAATATAAATAAGACAATAGATCATAACTCACATGTACATGAAGAAATAAACTCTCATTAATGCCAGTTACATCAATAAGTATTTCAAAAGCAATATAATGCAACTTTGGCATCATTTTATTCTTTTAGAAGATCTGTGTTGATGTTCTTCTGGTCTGTAAAGATGAGTGTGTATAGCCGGGCCCTGATGGCTCACATTTGTAATCCTAGCTACTCAGGAGACTGAGATCTGAGGATCACGGTTCAAAGCCAGCCCAGACACAAAAGTTCATGAGACTCTGATCTCCAATAAACAACTCAGAAAGTGGCACTGTGGTTCAAGTGGTAGAGTGCTCTCCTTGAGCTGAAGAGCTGAGGGATAACGCCAAAGGCCCAGAGTTCAAGCCCCACTACCAACAAAAAAAGGAAGAAAGAAAGAAGGAAGGAAAGAAAGAAAGAAGGAAGGAAGGAAGGAGGGAGGGAAGGAAGGAGGGAAGGAAGGAGTGTGTGTGTGTGTGTGTGTGTGTGTGTGTGTGTCAGTACAAGAAAGGGCTGCAAGAATGGCTCGTGTGTAAACCATTTGCCTAGCAGGCACAAGGCTGTGAGTTCGAACAGCAGTACCATATAGTCCTCCTTTTCAAATTGTAACTACTATCAGCAATAAATAATTGCCAGATTACTTTTTAGGTTAACCATAGCTATTACCACACACTTTAAAATTTAATTTTATTGAGACCAAATTTGTATACAATATTTAAATTGGCCTGAGTTTTGATAAATATATAGCAAATAGATTTGCAAAGCAAATATAATAACCACAGCATAGAACTTGCTCATCATTTCAAAAATGTTGTCTTTCTTTTTTGCAGATTAATTCCCTTTGTCCATCTGTGATTCTAAGCAGTCATAGATCTACTTATTGCTATAGTTTGGTATTTTCTAAAATTTGATACATATGGAATTAAACTGTAGAAAACTTCTTGTATCAGACTTATTTTACTCCACATAATATTTGTTGGCTTGTTTGTTTCTTTTGCAATGCTGAGGACCAAATTTGGGGCCTTATGATTGCTAGGAAAGCACTGTACCACTTACCCAGCAGCAAGACTGTGTCAAAAAAATTAAAAGCACTTTAGGAGCAATGAAACCAAGAATATAACATAGTATCCACTTGCCAAGATGATCAGTGCAGAGGATGTATCAACAAAACAAACTGCCTGCCCTTCCCACCACAAACAGAATGGTTTTGGAGGACAGGCCCAAGCACATCTTCAGGACTCTACTTCCTGTATTCCAGCACAGCCTTCCTCACTGTCCCAGTATGACTCAGGCAGGGTTGAGAGGGTTCAAATGCAGTGCCGGTCCTTCCAGCTCCTCTGGAAGGTATAAGTGATCATCCTTAGTAGCAACGTTTTGATTCTGTCAGCATTCAGAAATCAAGAGTTGTGGGGACATGGCTTCCCCTACCTCACTTACCTGGGGACTCAAGGCCCCCAAGGATGGAACTACTGCACAAAATCCTGCTAGGACAAAGCTTACCCAAAAGATGATGTCAGAGATGCCACAAACAGCCTCCACTAGAATAATGCCTAATGGAGTCATGAGATAGCACAGAAATGTAGCACTCCCAGCATGTAGTGCCATAATGGGACAGTGAGACAGGAAGAACTTTACCCAGAAGAGCTGGAGCATAGCTGGGTCCCAAGTTTCCCAAGGTCTTAGGGGTCAAAATTCCACACCAACGTGCACAGGATGAGGCAAATGGAGTCAATGAAAATTATTCTCACACCCAACACTTCAAGTTTTCTCTATTAGGTTTTGAATTTTCTTTTGACCAGTGTCTCCTTTCTCCTTGCCTATTTGCCCCCTTGGAACAAAATGTCTGGCCTGTGCCTGCCCTGCCAATGCACTTTGGAAGTAAATAGTTCTGATTTCACAGGTTCATGGCAGGAGTTGATGCACAAGCCAGTGGCACATGAGACACACGCATGCCGGGCTCTTGTCCTCTGATAGTATTGAAATAATTTCAGGGACAATGCATACAGTTTTAAAGAGTTTATTTAGTAAAAGGAAGTACAGACCACCCAGAAGAATGAGCTGAGGGACCCAGAAACTCATTGTCCTGTCACATAGTCCTGGCTACCAGTGGGGAAGAGGGCAAGCTGCCTGAAGCAGTTCACTAATGTCTTCCATTTCCCTTTTCTGCATGTTCCCTGACTGCTGTCATGGGGAGCATGGAGCTCTGTTCTTACTGCTTCCGGCTGAATGGGGTGATAAAGGTAGCCCATGACAGCTGCCAGAGGAGACTCAGAGGTACCAAAGGACTTTGAAATAGTTGTAGTGATTCCAGTCCTCAGGGCCTTGCTTGTTGGTTTTTATATCGGTGGTTATTTGTAGTTTGATCTAAGTGAGAGAGCATACTTTTTGTTAGTAATTGAAACGCACAGGGCCTAAGCATGAAGAGTATGGTTAATATTTTGTATTTGATCCCAAGCATGGATTGTCAGTTCGAGGAAGATGCTTGAGGAAGAAGTAGCCTGGGTAAGTGGCTTTGGAGGCAATGGGGAGATTGGCCCTGCTTCTCTAAGCAGTATGATTGTACTTCTGGAAGGTGGAAAGAGGCTATTTCTCTATCAGGTTGGTTCATACCAGTCCAAGGAGACCTGAGGTTTATTGTGCCATACAGTAATCAAGAAAGACCCTGAGCTGAGCTGGGGTAGGAAACAGCACAGAGTCAGTGAGGTCCATAGAGTTAAAAGAGTTTGGGCTTTTTTGGGGGGGAGGGTCCAGTCGTGGGGCCTGAACTTGGGCCTGGGTGCTGTCCCTCAGCTCTTCAGCTCAAGGCTAGCGCTCTACCACTTGAGCCACAGCGCCACTTGACTTTTTTTTTCTTTTTGCTTATGTGGTGCTGGAGAATCGAACCCAGGGCCTCATGCATGCAAGGCAAGCGCTCTACCACTGAGCCACCTTTCCAGCCCACTTTTTTTCAATCTTGAAACCATTGATCCAAACAGTAGAATCCATCTTACTTTTAATGAGAGGCATGCAGAAATAGCCTCTGGCAGGAAGGAGGCGTTTAGCTACCAATCTGGATAACAAGTCTTATCCCACAGGGGAACAGACATCTTAGGTACGATTTGGCAAGACTGGCTCAAGTGGCTATCACCCCAGTTGCAAGCTAAGGCTTAGTGAAACAATGCTCCAGATTCTAGCCAGACATGTCCAGAACAACAATCTTGCTAGAAAATCAAAGTCCAGGAGCACAGGGAAGGGCTGAGAAAAATGAGCGCCTGTATCCATTAGAAGGCTTGACCCTGACGCTTCTAGACCTGGAGCAGTATAGATGTGAGTGAACTTGTCGGGGAGGTCCCAGGGCTGTCATTGGGGTTGGGGTAGTGAACTGGGCTCCACGGGCTAGAGTCAAAGCCATTTTCTCCTCCAATGCAGCTCTGCAGAGAGGCCGGGCTGTAGATGCTGGACTTTTTAGGTCTTTTTCTTCTCCTGTTTGGAGATGCTAACTGCTCACAATGGAAACAAAGCTTCACATTTGGTTCTGTCCCCTGAGAAGTGGGCTGCAGCGCCTCCTGCCTCTTATCCTCCCTTTTTTTCCTTGTCCAGCTCCCTGTTATAGTACACAGAGGTAGTTGCCTATACTAATTGATCAAGAGTTTAGCTTCAGTCACCAGTTCTTTCAGTTTCCTGTAGATGTTTGGGGTTGACTCCTCCATTGCTGGAGTGTGCCTTTGAATAGCATCCTTGAGGCTCTGTAAAAAGACCGGAGGGGGTCTTAGTCCCTGCTGGACAGCAGTGAGTTGTGAAAAACCAAGGGGCTTTACCTTAGCTCTTCTGAGCCCTTCAGAAATGCACAAGAGAAAATGTTTTCTCCTCCATTTATCTACTACCCTTTTGTGGTCCCATCCAGGGTGAGTTTGGGGAAGTGAGTGCTCCCACAGTGGAGCTATGGACCACAACTTCCCTTCTTTCCATGCCTGCCACCTGCTGTCCCTCCTCCCCCTTTCCAGCCTTGGACAAAGGATCATCATTTCCTCCTGTCACTGCATGCTCCAGGGTTCTTTGCTTTTTTTGAACAGGGTGATCGTCT